TGGGCTAATAAAATGGTTAAAGCGTCACTAACAAGAATAAAGGGAACGCTAGAAGTAGTATGAGTGTATGGGAGGAAATTTTAATGGAGACGTGTGGGTTTAAAAACAAAGAGAGAGTGTCCCAATGCTATTTGACCACGATCCTTTGCCGATATCGTTCTAGCTGTCAAGCAGAATATGACAGGGAGAGAAAATTTTCCTCGAATCTGAAGGAGTCGATCTGTAAGCTGAGAACAAATGCAAAGTTCTGTCAGAGTGATAATTTTCGTAGTCGTATTTGTTTACATCTTTCCAAAACGTCTGCAGGTGATCTTTTCTTTAGGAAGTCACTAGTGTTGGATATGCACGTCCACTTCTAGTACTTTCGGGAAGCAAAAATTTATCCTCACTCAAATGTAGTCATTGTACATCCTGGAAAATAGGCCTTTGACATATGGAAGTAGAGTTTTCCTCAGCCTTTCAAAAGCCTCAAACTCCGCAAAAGGTTTGTTTCCTAGGTATACATTCATTAGTTAGAATAAATTTCTAAGGCCTACTTAATATTATTAAAATCAAATTTTCGAGATGAAAATAATTTTCTGCTGAAATTTTGATTCATTTACAAAAAAGGGGTGCGAAAGACTTCTTGTTTAGGGCTCAGGCGCGCTCCGGCTAAAAGTACGATTTAAAACTGAGAGATACCGGAGCCGGGCTCTAGTGGGCTCCAGCGCAATTTAAGATCTGGTCTAAATTTGCATTACCAGATCAAGATTAGCCCTTCGACTACGATATTGTATGTCTCGGTTTTGTACTACGCATATATGTCGTGCTATATACCAACAAAAAATGCATTAACGGAACTAATATCTGAACAATTTTAGTTTTTTTTTTTTTTTTTTATTTTATTTTATTTTGTTGAAGGTGGCGTTTCATTACAGCAGAATTGTAAGTCCCCAAACTAAAACATCCGTTTTCAAAATATCTTTTAAGTGAATATTCGGTATCATTAGTATTCATTATCTACGGTTTACTGCGTCCTCCCCCGACACTTAATTTTCTTCTTTAAATTTTAAAAAATTAAATGGTTCGTAAGTTAAAAAATGCCCATTTAAGTTGGTATTTTCTGGTCCATAAAATACTGAATTACAGTTCTACATTTTCGATGCAATTTTTCAGTTAGCGTCCTATTCGATTTCGTTCAGCTCACTTTTGTGGTAATCATATCTTTGATGACTGGAATACTGGCACAACACGAAAAATGAAGTTTTAAGATGAACGTGCTTAAAGGTTGACTCTCATATGACAAAAATTCACCAGATATTTAATTTCAAAATTTACCATTTTTGGTGTCATTTTCAACTTGCCTTGAGGCTTGGACGAAGTAAGTTTAAACAGAGTGCAGTAAAAAATATGCATAATTTAATAGGCATACAAGGAAGCCATGTGGTGTCCATATCAGAGTTTTTTAACTAAATTATATTCTGATAAGTATGCATAGTAGTATTAATATTACAATATCAAATAAGATATTTCCATTTCTACTTTCTTGTAACGGGAATCCCGTCCGTTCTAATTTTTGGTTCTGATACTCCTCAGGCTTCAACCACCTATAAATAATTATAAAAGGTGAACGGGCAACAGCCTCTGTAAAAGCGTAGATGGAATGGCAATTCGTGTTTGCTCTGCTGTAATGGGTCGGTTCTTGTATTAAGCTGGCATAAAGTTCGACAATTACAAATGCATAATCTTCGCGGGTAATTTGCATGAGTCTGTCTTTGTTAGAAACATTAAAACAATCACTGCAAAGACGAATCCATTTAGGAAAGCTCGTTTTCTGAACGCATTTGAGACTGGCAAAATAACGCGAATATTTTTTAAATTTTCAGGACCTAGCACTAAAAAGCTGGGGGGGGGGGAATGGGAGAAAAAATACTGTAAATATTTTAGAAATTCTCTGTTTCAGAAACAAAAAAAAAAAGTGCAATTCACTAAGCCTTCCATGCAGATACCGAAATCTGAATTAATTATGCAGCAAAGGGTTCAATTCAAGAAGACATTAAGCTGTAAAATTAAACACGCCGCTTTTCGAAAGTGGTCTCGAAACAAAAACAGCGCATCCTGCTGCACATGTTGCACTTTGAAATATAAATCAGAAGTCGAACATTTCAAAACAGGGTTTTTTTTTTTTTTTTTTTTTTTAAAGCATGTAAATATTTAAAAGCAAAGAATGTAACGAGTGTTTCCGCACGGAAGGTCAAATCCTTATCTTTTATACACGATCTGGACCAGAAATCAACAAAACATTGCCTACAATCAAAAACATTAAATAGAAAGAGTTTACAAACTCTCTTTCTGTTTAGAATTCAGCGTGCGCGTACTGCGCTTTATGCTATCTGATAAGGATACAGCGCATTGCTAGCTCGCCAATTTTGCCAGCCGGAACGTTAACTTCTGTTATTTGTTCGGAATTTATTCAAATTTAATCCGAGATCAACCGTTAGTCCTAAAAAACTTTTCAGAATCTAATTTCGAGAATAACTACAAATGAATTTTTCAAATTCACTATTTTATTGGTTTATGTTCCCAGATAAAGCATATCCATGATGCAGACGGCGTTAAACACCTGGGACCTAAGCATATTGCCCTACTCTAAATCGAATACGATTAAAAACTTCGGAATCTTTGCTCAAAACAACTTAAACGAAAATCTAAGGAATGCAGAGATTAAAAACGAAGTACCACCGCGTGTGTTAAAAATTTAAGTGGGAGAGCTATCGAGCTGGTGAGTTGTCCTCTAGGAATAAAGTATATTGGGTTTCTTTAAAAAAAAAAAAAAAAATTGAATAATTGCACCCCCTGTCAGTGTTGCTAGATCATGCGATATTTCGAAAATCTGCTAGTTTTGATAAATCTATGCTATTAAAATTTATATCTATGAGATTCTGCGAATTTTTTGCTACTCCATCGTTCCTTGTTCTATTTTTGGCTAAATTTTCCTAATATCTTAAAATGCATGTATATCAATAAAATGTATTTAGTAAAATTGATTTAGAGTAAAAATGTAATAATTTATTTAGACTTAAATAAAAGGTGGCAACTGGAAATCCTACGATCGTAGCCTACAAGCACATGGTACTCAGTTTTCCACGCTAGTAACTTTTAATGTGTTTTATTGATTGTTTTGTTTAATATTCTGGTGAAACTGTGAGTAGGCTTCCAGAGTTCAAGTAACATTATAGCTACTGTGCTAACTAAAATGTGAATTATGAGTAACGTGAAAGAATTCATCAGTGCATTTCAAAATGCTTCGTTTAAAATATCCATGGTTGAGACCCGCACAGACATACCCGCGCATAAATTGATTTAAAGTGGGGCACAGAATATCTTTAAAGCATATTAAAAAATAAAACTTTTATGTTTGTAAACGGTTGGTTCTCATAGACAATGTTCAGTGTTCTATAACACACTTTATTATTTCTTTGTACGAAGTAAAGAAAGTATTATAATCACGAAAAATTCCAGGTACCATATTTCAACGAAAGTATCCATTTTGACCACTATCGAATGAAATTTAACGATGTCTTTGCTTAACATCTGTACGTCAGGACAGAATAAAGCAGTCTTTTTCCCAAAACAAATTATAAAACTGATTTAAAATGGGTTCAGAAGAGATTTTGTCGTGGCCGTCTGTACGTACGTATGTATCTCGCACAACTCAAAAACGAGTAGCCTCAGAACACTGAACAATTTTGTATACAGGACTGCTATATCATGTAGTTGTGCAAATCCTTTTTTAGTTGCAATCGGCTACACCAAACGTATATAAAGATATATAGGTACTGTATAGGTAATGGTTTCTAGATTAATTTGGATTTGTATTCTTAATTACATTGACAATGTGCTTTAAATTAATAATTTTGTTTCCTAAGAAGATTTGCTTACTAAATTTCTCGAAATTCTTTTACGGTTAAATTTCTCCTTTAAACAATTCACTACTTTTGGCTTTGTAATTCTTTACGCGGCCTATATGAATGACGAATTAAATTATTGAAGAATTAGCTTTGGGCCAACTTCCCCTTGAAAAGATCTGTCTCCTGCCCACTCAACAATTATTCACTTAATGCAAATTAAGTTAGTCATAAAAAATTTAAAAGTTTTAGGATTAACTTTTGAATTATTATATATATTTTTTCATGTTACATATGCTTACTTAATTTACATATGCTTTCTGAATTTGAATGATATTGCAAATTAGTTCGCAGCAATAATTAATCTTTTATTTGTTTACAATTGAATTTTCATAGAGTAAAATTTAAAATAGCTTTATATGAATGATATCGTGATATTGTATTTGTTAAATTTAAATATATATATATCTACTCTGTTACTCGGCTCAGTCATTTTATTCTTATATGTTGGTAAATTGTGCATTTTTTTGCTTTAAAAATGATTTAATTATGTTGTCCTTATCTTCCGGATAAGGTTTTTATGCCTCTAGTTAATCTGCATGCAATATTTGTAGAATTATCAACAATTTAAAAGTTGTTTAAATGCAGCTAAGCCTAATTTTGTTTTACCATAACAGCTATGTTTTTTTTACATTTGAAACATAGCAGAATAGTGAATTAATTCTTTCTGCAGTGTCTTTTTGCCGAGTGGGAGCAAAAGCAAACTTTTAGTTTTATGCACCGAAAAATCCGCCTTCTTGACTGCTGGCCGAATTGCTTGTTTTCGCGTAGAAACTGTAATCTTAATTGCAAAAATTGTTTTAACTGTATTTGGTGTGTTATGTTTTTCTATATTTTTCAATTTTTAATAAAAATATTTTGAGTTCTTATGTATTTTTGCCCTGCCGGAGTGAGAACTGAATTCATTGTATGAGAAATATATCTCAAATGAAATTCGAGGAAAAACGTTTAAACCTTAAAATTCTTTCAGCAGCCTTTGTACTTCAAGAAGAATTAAGGATAAGTGATTTATAACTGCTTACCAATGTTAAAGAAGGGATGTTTTTCTTTCAGATCTGGCTTTTAGTTCTCCAAGTAGTCTTGGAGAGCAAAGCGACAAACGTTGCCAGCGAACAAAATGAGCGCACAGCCCGGGCCCGGAATCACACATCCACCAACCAGCCTTCTCTGCAGCAAGATGGATCCGGCCGTAATTTCGAAGATCCAGAAAAATCAGTAATGACAGCTGCCTCGGAACAAGACTTCCTCTCAAGGCATTATAATATTCATAGATTTGATCCAAACTTTGGATATTATGATAGACCAATGTATCCCAGGTAATGACCAAACAGCTGCTTCTAATATGTCTTGCCATATAAAAGTATATATATTTTAAATAAGATTAATGCAATGAATATCTGCGTTTAATAGCAAAAAATCTATGTTATGTTGACAGTCCTAAGGTCTTGTTTTAACTATCAAGTTTTAAAAATGCAGAGAACAAAAGAATTAATTTTAGTTTGTAAGGATTTTAAGTTTTACTAAGTTTATTTTATTTTAAAACTTTACTATCCTTTCTTATTTTTCACTTCCGGCCAGAATAAACGCGGTGAGTTTTGGTTATGCAAATTGAGCTTGCAAACTGTTAAGTATTTAAGTTGTGGCTTTTAGCCAAGAGAAAGAAAGACTTCTCGCTACCTTACATTGCGCGTGCTTTTCAGTCAGTTCTTGTCTGCCTTTGAGGCCAGAGCTTAGTTCTCTTTAATACTTGAAGACGTATTGTAGTTCCCGCATTCTGCTCACTCACTATCCGTGAAGTTTAAAAGGCCAATCTTCACGTTACTAGTCTTTGTAAAGTATTTGGGTTTAGTTCTTATTTAATTTAATTAGTTTGTAATTCTTATTTTTACGTTTCAGACCATAAGTACTGGTCTTTGTAACCCGAGGTGCGGGAACAGCTATAAACTGTGAAGAATAAAGGGTAGTTAAACACTTCCCATTTGTGTCGTATCTTCTATACTTGCACGAACTTAGTTTTAAGTAAACTCCCTGTTCTTACTCAGAGCTCTAGTTATGTTCTCATAGGCAATAAGAAGAAATACTAGTCCTGATAAGTTTAGGCCCAAAGACTGTCTCAACGCACTTCATATACAGCGCGTCTACAAAAGTCCTTACCTGGCTCTTTTTGCACCCGTTAGCACTGGCGTAGCTTTAAGGAGCAGAGGAAGCAGTTCGCCCCAGGCGAATTTTTGTGTGCGGCATTGTTTGCATGAAATATATTTTATATGGTTATTTACGTGGATCTTCGAAGCATGTGGAGACTATATTGAGATTCTGAATTGCTGTATGGAATTAAAGTGAGAAGAAAAATAGTTTTTATTGTAGATAAAATATTTAAAGAAAACAGAGTTGGATTTCAACAGCTGAATACCCTTGTTATATCTATTTTATTCCTACGAAATTTTTTAATGAAAACTACAAATAACGGCTAAATTGTGATCACGGTAACATTAATAAGAAAGAATACTTATTTAAGTGAGAAATATAGAAAAATCGAAATGGGAACATGGAATTGCGGTCCTTTTGATTTTTTGCACTCTAAAATATAATTTTCAAAACAGTGTCAAATATTGTAATACTACTTCGAAATTTCTTCCTAGTTGCTGTAACTGCTATTAATTGGGAGAAAAATTTTAAAATAAAAATCATTTCAGAAGTAAATAAGAGCTTCAAACGTTTATTCCGCATTAAAAAAATCTTTCTATGCAGTCAATATAACAGTAACTGGAGCAATCTGCACACTTCTACAATACCATCGATGGTTTTGATAACAAAGAAACAAATAAAACAATAATTTAATTTTAAAATATTGGAATTAAAGTTTTCTTCAAAGTAAAAAAAAAGTACAGTTGTAATTTATTCTCTGTATGTCATTTTGACATTAAACTCAAGAACCGGCTCGGGCGACAAAAGCATTAGCTACGCTCCTGCATATTAGTCGTAAACATATACGCCCAGTTACAGAAGTCTTTTAAATGTCCCAAATATTCATGTTTTGGCATATTAAAATTGAAAAGGAAAAAGAAAAAAAAAAAATCTGAAAGTATTCAGATTTTATATTACGCGTTTTTTTCCTTCATACATACGTACACGTTTCGAGAGCAGTTGGGCTAACGCCCTTTTGAGTTAAAAATATTTAAAAACAGCATATCGTTAGAATTTCCGATAGATAGTCTTGTGCGCTCTAGGTGATATTTTATTCCGTATAGTGTGTGTTGTCACTACTTGCTTTAATCGTTCAGTTTCTTAACTGAAAATTCGTTAAAAATTTAAAAAATGCGAAATAGATAATAAAACAAATTCGAAATTCAAGATTCGGGCGTCCAGGCGCCCATATTCGGGTGGAGGACTACATTATTCAAAATCGGATCCAGGTATCGTTGTTTTTTCACAATGCAAGAAACATACATACATTCATGCAGATTCTTCATTATTTAATTTTTTTAAATGTTATACAGGGCGCAAAAATTCGAAAAGTGATACATCCGATTTTGGGTAGCAAAAATTTGAAAAGTGATACAGCCGTTCATTGTAATTCAACGCAAAATGCCGTAGATTATGCAGTAATATATCCCTGGAGAAAACTCTTCACAGCAGGTTAAGCATATGTCGCCTTGAGTCGTTTGAAATTATTAGATGGAATATTAATTGAAGAACTAGACTGCTCGAAACTCACTGGAAAGGTTTCTTGCAATAATGAAGCATTACAAGAGGTGGATAGAATGAGAAATTATAGAACATCATCAGCTTCATAAATTAGAAACGAAAAAAGGTTAATAATGTTAATAAAAAGTAACTAAAATAAAATTTTCCTTTATTGATCTAAGTAGGAATTGACTACTTATTATATTACTTGTTTTTCTTTTATTTGTTGCATTTTATTTCTTTTAATAGTTTTTCTCTATGCAAAATAACAGCATGCATATTATTTTAAATAGTATATTTAAGCCTGAATAATTAAATGAATCTGGATTAATTGCTATTTCTTCACGCACATATAAAATATAGCTATAATAATAATAATAATAATATGCAACTGCATAATTTTATTGGGACTTTTTAAATTACGCTCAATACATTTATACAATTTTATTTAAAAATTGAAAGACAGTTTTATTCCAAATGTATAGAAGTATCTGTTTTTTCATCTGAACTGAATGTAGTAACTGAAACAAAACTTAAATAATAATTAGAGTTAACATTTTGCAGTCAATTACCCTTAAATACAAAATGTTACATAACTGTTATAGAACTTATAAATTTAAGTATATACCTTTACTTTACGACATGAAGCATGCTAACAAATGTAGTTCCTTGAAAACAGAAACCGAGATTGATTAGTTCAAGTTTGCGGAGTATCCAACAAGTGTTTTTATTTCTTTAAAATTCTCTCAACCAGGTAGTGAAATCTCCACAATTGTTTATATTTGACCTAACTTCGCAATGAAAATTTTCAGAAAAAATTGACGATGCTTTATCTATTTTGTACAGGAAATTGCGTGGCAAAATGTTTTCGATCATCTTACTTAAAGGGCGCCAAAGGTTATTTGACATGATAGAAATATTGCTGGAAGCCCATTGGTCCATCCTAGAAGCCACTCCCTAGGTGGCTACATAGATGTGCACTTGTAAAATATGCTGACGGGACGGGCATGTAAAAAAATGCAGCTAGGCCATGGCCATCTGACCAATCAGTTAATTTTTACAGACCATAATAAGTAATAGATAAGACTGTAACACTCTCGAAACAGCAGTTAAATATTTTTTTTTTCCTTTTCAGTGTTTCTTTTATGTGATGTGTAAATCAAAATGTTTCGTTGATAACAAGATCTTTTTTTTAGGCGAGATATCACAAAAGTTTAACCAATATTCCCTGCCAAAGAAGAGAACGTATTTCTTTTGTTTAACTTTCTAACAAAAATAATAAAACTGCATACGTCAGTAGATGCTGACAACAGCAGTTGATTGATTGATCAACAGCAGCTGATTAATTAAACTCAGTTTGACGTAGATTTTGAATAACTCTATCGGTTTTGAGGTCAATCAGACACAAGTCTTAGTGCTTCAGGAGAAAACATTCTCCAGAATATTGCTAAAAATATTCTTTGACAATATCTATGACACATTAAGATCGCTTTTTTACTCAGTGTAAAATTTTACATTGGCATGTTCTCTTCCATTGAGAGATGCCTTCTGAAGCTTAGAGTCACAGCATCGGTCTAATAGTTTCCAGAAATGTTATAAACAGTTCATGAATAAACTTTTACATTAAAGACATTATGAACAATTTATCAACAAGCTTTCGCATTTCCTAATTAAAATGCTAATGGAAATACCTATTTATACCTATTACACTGGTTAAATACCATTGCACCATTGCAGTTTTGAAGGGTATGTGTTTCCTTGTTCAATGTTATCATTCGGTTAATTCTATCAAAATAGCCGTGGACAAGCGTGATTACATTAAGCGGCGCCTACTGTAATTATCTCTGTGGATTATATAATAATTTTCCCGTTATTCGCAGGTATCCATCTCCGCACACGTCCAAGTTTGGGCCTGGCTACAGGAAAGACAAATATGGACACGGTTACGGGTACAGTTGCAAGCAAGGAGACGATTGTGAAGAAGTGCGAGCTGCAAATCAAGCGCCTGTTCTTCCGCCTCATCTACCACATCATAATCTGCCCAACCCATTCGGAGATCTGTACCCCGACTTCCCAGCTTTCTCAGCTGTCCCACATCCAGGGAACTACCCACCTGCACCAGGTCGCTTTAACGATCCACCGCTGCCTCTCATGTTTTCTAGATTTTACCCACCTCGATATCTTCACGAAGAAGGAACTCACAAAGACTAGATGCTTCAATCCCAGAATCATTTTTGTTGCAACACTGAAAGTATTTCAAATAAATCTACGAACAGTCAAAAGAAGCAATCTGGTGAAATATAACTGTCAAACGAATCAGGAGACGGAATGTTTTAAAATTTTGGGGAAAAGCACTGACGTAATATATTTAAAGATAGAAACCAAATTTTATATAATTGGAAGGAGAGCAAAAATTCTATTCTCCTGGGATATTAAAAAGCACGAGGGAACGTTATTAAGGTAAATTACAAATTGCCATGGTTACTTACGTAGTAACGCTACCACCTTGGCGCATTTTGACGATTTTTTAAAGATAAAAAGGTAAAAGTTAATTGTTGGGTGTAACGATTTTCGTGGCTTTTTTTAAATGTATTCCAAATTATCGATATCTATCGTTTATAATCACAAGATGACGCATGATCAAAATTAAACACACTTAAAAAATTTTAAATAAATATTTTATTATTAAATAAGTATTATATAAAGCATTAAAAATAAAACACTGGCATTTTTTTTTTTTTTTTTTTTTTTTTTTTCCGAAATTCTTCTCTAATTTTTAGCGTTGTTCTTCTTTCCCGTGTACACACTTCCCGTGATCTGTTTCCACTTTAAGAAAATCGAAAATTTCACACATTCAGTATTGCACACTGGCTGTCTACTAAATGTTCCCTTTAACCGTTTTGCTGAAAAATACTGTATTCCTGCAGAAAGTGTTCCGTAGTTTCTTCCATTGCTGGCTTATTCCATAACGGATATTTTAAAATTGAGTTTAAAGCAAAAAGTATCCCGATGTGTCTACAAAAAGCTTTGGAACTCGGAATATAGCAAAATGAACGCAAGCAAACATGACGACACTGCTTGACCAAAGGATTGTTATGAGTATGGTTCCCAGAGTTTGATACTTTTTGAAGCAACTTTTATTAAGGTGGTTGCGATAATACGTAAGTACCTTGCCATGGCATATTTCAGATTACCAATGAGTGATTTCCATGTATGTTAACAAATGGAAGAACCATTTTAGTTCATGATATAAATCTTGTTAGTTACTAAATACCAGACTATGCACATGCGTGGTCCAGTTTGCTAATGTCGATGGAACTCGATGACTGTAAAAGACAAAAGCAGCGTGTTGTTATCCCCCTTTCTTGGGGAAAGGGCAAAAGAGCTTCAGAGCAAAAGACAAAAGCAGCGTGTTGTTATCCCCCTTTCTTGGGGAAAGGGCAAAAGGGCTTCAATGCAAAAGACAATCATAAAGGAATGTTTCCTATTTACGGAAAGAAGTATGTCGTGTAAAGCTGTGCACAAGGTTTATTGAGAAGTTTTCTCAAACATGTTCCAAAGCTTCCGATGAAAATATAAGCAGACTACACGTTCACACAGCGGATATCTCTGTCGCCGTAAGCTCTTTGCAAATTCATAACTGATGGATCTAATTCTTTAGCCGTAGCATAAAAACATGAAATTTTCATACCCCATCACCCTAATGATTTCATAATGAGACGGCAGGTTTATGTAAATCGGTGATTGTCAACACCTTAAACAAAGCCCTTCATTCAGAAAACTGGAAGTCTCGATAAGCTCATCCAGATGACATTAGTAAGTTAAGGGAATTTCATCCTTAGTCTTAATTTTTTCCTCTACGGTAAAAGTCATAGTTTAAAAAATCTTTAAAATTATGAATCTATTGACGCTTTTACGATTCTTTGGAAAACTGTATTTTTGGTATAGAATTAACGCTAGCCAAATCCTTAAAAGTTTTTAATATCCCAATTTTCAAGATGTCAAATTCTCAAAATATTTTAGCCGCGATTACTATTTAGAAATCGATATGACCCTATTTCAGGATAATAATGATACTGAATTGTAACGAAATTTCGAAAACATCCTGTTTCCTGTATTAAGTATAATAACCAGTGCCGTTGAAGTTGTATCTAAGCAGTGCCTAATCTAATTTTAAAGATGAAGGGGCATTGTGACATCATTTTATACATATTTCACGTGACCTTTTATCGCAGTTTCAGATTTTATGTTGACTCTGAATGAAAAGGCTGAAATGGGAATCGTTCTTACCTATCCCATCAAGAGAGAATGAAATGACACTATTTAAAAAGAAAAACTTCAAACGGGAAAGCCTGAAATGGGGCATAACCAATAAAACGGTGGGATAAGTGTCTAAATAAATATGAAGATTATCCTGTTAAATAAAAATAGTTTTCAAGTAATTATCTCATTAGATTATTTTGTAATTGCCATTTGTCACCGTTATTGACTTCCCTTTGGAGCTCATTGAAGACTCAGATGTTAAGCACACGTTTTTAACAGGCACCTGGGCAAAGCCGCATCGTGTGTGTAATACGTGGAAAAGCGCATAATTTTCTTTGGCATAGCAACATAAAACATAGTTCTTAAATGAGAAGAAACTCAACTTATCGATATGTAAACGTATCAATATGCAGCATAGATCATTCAAAGCCTAAATGACACCGACAACATTAATCAACCTTTTCGCTTCTTAGCTATTTTTGCCTTTCAGTCTTAAGCCACGTTAACGTCATGATTGTATTATTACATAACTTATTAAAGAATAAAACTAAAAATCAGTCTTGACAAAGCTCATTCTCAAGGAGAATATAAGGTGAAATTTCACAAAGTTAAAAATATATTGATCTTACCTCGAAAATCGTATTATGTTTCACACATTTAAATCTTATTTGTTTTTAAATTTTTAATGTATTACTTTCCATTAATTATCTCGGATGCAAGATTAGCAATTGAATTCCGTTCTGATTCCTTTGACAATCATAATTTATTTGGGTTTTGTTAATCATTTCAGTTCGAAAAGGCCACTCATTACAGAGGTATTTGTCGCAACCCCTCTTTGTAAATACAGAAATAAATGATTAATCGGAATGTGAAGTTTAAATTTCTGGATTAGAAGCACAATAACGTTATCGCACAAACTCCAATCAATTCCGTAACTGAACCACCCAGCCATATGGTATGGTTACTGCCTGTAAAGTACGCACATTACAAATACCTGTATACACCGTACCAAATAATCACTAAAGATTCTTCATTTATTGTGGTCGCTCTTGGGTTAATCTCATTTGACACATTATATGCAAACATATATAGCAGTGGTCTCAAATTGGCTGTCGGCGGTCTTTAAAGTAATTTTATGCGGCCCGGGAATACATTTCAATTATATAATTGTTGCAAATAAGGTTTTCCAAAGATTTCAAGTCCAAGTTTATATAATTTTCATTTCCATAAAAAACGCACATGAATAATTCATCATAAAGTCTATAAATGGAGATATTAATTTACAATGTGATATAAATCTTATTCGAAGATTTGCAGATACAGACTACTACAGATTCATTAACTTTTATCAGAACATGTCAATAAAATAAATAAGCTCGAACTACGAATATGTGTGCTAAGAATAATCGCTGTGATTAGGAATACATTTGTATGTGAACAGCGTTTTCACAATTGAAAATTAATAAGAAAAGAACCCGATTGACCGATAAACATTTACAACCCTTGATGAAGATAATTTCTAGTAATTTCTTTCTAAAGTTACGACTTTTATCACGAGTCACGTTCCATCTAGCGTAAATTCTCTAGTTTCCATCTAGTGTCACACTGTATTAAGAAATAAACAAGTTTATAATTATTTACATACAAACATATGCATTTTTATTTATTTATGTGTCAAAAAAATTTAATAAATGAGTACTAGAGACTGTAATATAACTATCCATTCTCAAGCATTATGCCACTTGGTAAATTTTCTCTGAAAGAGTAAAATATCTTTATATTTTTTTACATTTTTAATTTAAATTAAAATAAAAACGTGTTAGAATTATTTGAAAGAAATGCCAATTTAAGAATTAAATATTTAGCAGTCAAAGTATACCAACAAAAATATCTTTCACCTACCAAACTTTGGATTTCAAATAGAAAACAAATATAAATTATATATTTTTTCTTTTAGATACTGTTATTTCTGTTTATGTATGTTTTGATAAATATTTAGTAAACGGAATTTAAAATTTATTTTAAATATTTTTTTATTTTCTTAAAGAAAATAAATAAAAGTAAGCTCTTTTTAGGTCGGGCATTTGGCACCCATGCAATTTGAGTTTGAGACCACTTATACATAGGGACATGTTCATTTCTACTATTGATTCATAAATTTATATCATCAGGTATTTCAGTTCAAAAAAGATTTTCTCATTATAAAGATATTTATATACTGCATATAACAATTACATGTATTATTTCATGTAATTGTTCTATTCGGATTTTTATTTGCATTTTTATTATGTAGTTAGTAAATAAATAAAATGTACTTGGAAAAACATTGTGTTGTGGCTAATATATATCTCATCAGACAACATTATAATTATTGCACAAAATAATTCATTGGGTAAATTAAAACTCTACTTTAAAAATATACTATAAAGTTAGCCTATTCTTTCTATTCAAAAGCGCATAAAATTTTTTGGGTGCAAAAATGAATGCTACAATGAAAGATTTAATAATAATGTCCAAAATTTCAGCAGTATAACAAATTATCTGCATTTTGAGAAACGAAATATGAAGTTTCGATGGATTAACAAAGGCGAAACATGAATCGTAATTGTAGAATTCGTATAGCCAGAAACATAAACTCACAGGAAGAAAAAAAAGATTTAACGATCCTCTAAAAAGATAGAAAGGTAAACTAATGGTAACTCTATTAAACTCAATGACTTACCACGTCGCCGTTAACTCGTTGCAAATTCATAAATATTGCATCAAATTCTTTGCTCTTTTGCATAAAAGCGAGCAATTTTCATGTCATGTACCCGGATGATTTCGTAAAATGTTATAAAGACACTGGCATGTTTATGCAAGTAAGCGACTATTCGCCAAGATTAACACGTTCACATGGGTGTGAACGCATATCGGCAGCTTTGATGAGTATTGCTTTCTTCACGATACCGAATATCATAAGAGCCCCCGTACGTTTGGTACCTTTATGTCGGGGCACCCTTGCGTCTTAGCTAGAGATTGTCAACCTAAAAAGGTGTCCGTACCTTTGTGCAAGTTGGTCACAGGTATCAAGACCTTCACATGAGCGTCCGGGCAGACTTGATGAGAGTTGCTTCCTTTATATATCGAACTTAAGGGGTCGGAGAAATTCTGTCTTTTTTTCAGGACACCCTTGTGTCTTCGCGAATGATTATCAATTTAAAAAAAAAAGGCCCATACCTTTGTGCAAGCTGGCACCTTTTCGCCAATATTAAAACCTTGTCATGGGTGTCTTGGCAGCCTTGATGAGGGAAGCGTTTTACATGACACCGAACTTTATAAGGGTGTCGGTACATTTTTGACTTCATATTAGGGCATCATTGTGTCTTGCTGAATGATTGTCAACTCGGAAAAAAGAGGCTATATCTTCATTTAATTGGCGAATTTTCACCAAGATTAAGACTTTACACATGGGCGTCCTGGCAGCCTTGATTACTTTCTCCATGATGTCCAACTTAAGGTTACCGTCACACTTCTGCCTTTATTTCAGGGCACCCTTGCGTCTTGGCAAGCGATTATCAACTTAAAAAAAGAACTTTCAAATTAGTGCAACTCGGCGACTGCTAGCCAATATTTAAACCTTCATATGGGCATCCTGACCGCCTTGATAAGGAGGGTTTTGATAATGAAACTAAACTTCATGATGTTGACCAAGATCATTCGTCCCAAATTACGGATAAGCTTACTACCGGATTGCGGATTACTGGATTAATTTACTAACGAATTACGAAATTACGGATAACTACTTGTTACATTGCTATTCATAACATTTATAATACAGACATTTACATAAGCATTAGTGGCAATAACACGATGATTAATTAAAAAAACATAATGATACTAATGATAAAGAGTAAACATATCATTAGGCTCATTTATTCTAAAATTTTTTTTAGATAATGCAAAGCGATTTGAGTGTTTGTATGATTTTTAGCATTATATAAAGCGCACTTACTCCAACTTACTCCACTTCTCTTCGGAGTATGCTCTGGTAACCATTGTTCCATGTAACATGGGCAAGACAACAACAACTCCTAAAGACTCCAAAGCCTTTCAGCAGCCTTGAGACGTTTTCAATGTATATCCATGATACTGTAATCCAGGATCAGTTTGGGTACTGAAGTTCTTAGCTAACTATCGTATCATCACATTGTCCATATAACAGTTCCGTTGCTGAGATATATGCGCTGGTTTCCAAAAATTAAGAAAAAGTCACAAAAATAGCGTAACTCTTCAAAAATAAGCCAATCCGTATAAAAATTGAATATGTTGTCAAATAAGAATTGCTGAGTAAAACTACAGTATGCAAATTAGTTATGCTGCAATCGAAATACGTCATGTGCGACGAACATAAAATTGCATGTTTTGGAGTAAGCCTGCAAATTTCCCTGTAAAATTGAGATAAGAAAGCCAATTTGTAACAATGACCTCTAGGCATCATTTGCCCGAACTGCGGCAGAGAGCTATTCGGAGAATAGAGGCAGGACAAAGGCAGGCAGAAGTAGCCAGATGGCTAAATGTGAGTCCTTCTGTCATTCATAGACTTTGGCAAGAATTTCTAGCCACAGATTCATCCTCCAGGTGGTTTAGCCAAGGATGGCCAACCGCTACGATGAGCACTGATGACCGATATTTGCTGTTATGCACACGGAGGAATAGAACCCTAGCTTCGACTCAATTCTGATTTTCCTTGCTGCAGCCACTGGAAGTTTGCTGTCAACGTCAACCGTGCGTAGAAGGCTTCACGAAGGAGTTCTGTACTCGAGGCGACCAGCCATTTGCATGCAGCTCATGTCACTTCATAGAATGAGCATTTGAGGTGGGCATGTCAACATGTCCATTGGACAGCTGATCATCGGATCATTGGAGGGATGTTCGCTGTACGGATGAGTCCAAGTTTAGCCTCCAAAGCTATAGCAGAAGTTATTTGATTTGGAGAGACGCTGAACCCATTATCACTGATCAAACATCCATGAAAGAGATGCATACGAAGGAGGCAGTGTCTGTGTTTGGGATGGTATCTCTTTGGGGGGAAGCACAGACCTCTATGTCTTTCGATGTGGAACCAATAATTCTCAGGCCTATAGAGATGATATTCTTGAAGCTTATGTGCTCCATTATGCTGGGCAATAGGTGATAATTTATTGCTACAGGACGTCAACGCTAGACAACACAGGGTTCGTATCGTGGATGAATAGCCTTCAGCAGCAAAACAATTCAGTGCATGGAGTGGCCAACTCGATCACCGAACCTGAATCTTATCCAGCATGTTTGGGATGCTTTAGAAAAACGTATAACTGCTCTTATTCTTCCTCTTCAAATCTTTCTCATGCTTCCAACTGCTCTGCAAGAGCAATGGTTCTCACTTCCTACTGAACTGATAGACTGACAGCAGAGTACATCGTTGTATGTGTTATATTGCTTATAGGGAAGATCATACTCCATACTGAAGGTAATTTTCTTATACCAAACTGACGCACCTGATTTCGTCATTTTATACATGTGCTAATTTCTTTTTATGTTATTTTATACCTTTATATGTGTTGTAAGCTGTAGGTCAGTTTTATTAAATTCTACATGTAACTTTTTGAACAATCGTCATTTTTGTGATCTTTTCCTTATATTAATGATAACCAGTGTCTAATTAAAGTAATTAGAATATTTTCATTGACCTGAAATTCTTTATGATATTTCAACTGTTTTGTAAAAGAATTTTCAACAAATGCGAGTAGTTTTTCATTCTTAACGAAGATTGATCTGATTAATGTTTTCAAAAAACAGTAACTGGAGAAACTCGTTTCTCAGAAAACTTTCTCTTAGGCTCACGT